TGTGCGCGATGCCGAGTTTGTGCAATTCTGGGATGTTTTTTTAAGTGAAAATAGATCGATGTGCACATGGTCAAAGTCAATGTGGTGCGCAATGCCGAGTTTGAGCAATTCTCTGATTTTTCTTTAAGTGAAAATAGATGGATGAGCACATGGACACCGAGTTTGTGGAATTCTTTGATGTTTTTCGAGCGAATACTGATCGTTGTGTAGAAGAGAAAACGAGGTTGTGTGTGATGCCGAGCAGTAATGTAACTTTATTTATGTGCAATGTTTAACATATCGTTAGTGTATTTTAAATTTGTATTGTTGTTTTAATTGTGAATTATATTTAAGACGTCATTTTTCATTTAAATTGTATTTTTAATTTTTGGCTTTGATATGTTTATAACGCTTTCCGACTTACGACATATATCGATAGCCCGACGATCTACTCAACAGTAGCAAAATTGTTAACTTTAACTCTTGAAGTAACGTTTACCTCATATTTTAATACGTAGTGTTTGGTATCGTAATTGCACTTGATAATATGAGTTCATTGATAATATGTGTGTGTGCGTATGTGAAGCATTGCTTAGTGTTCCAAGTTTGTAGTATTTATTTTATTATATTATTTTCTTTCATTCTGAGAAATTAGATTTTTTTATTTATTAATGCGTAGAATTCTAGCATGCCTACACAGAATATGGCGTGATTTAGGAATTTTAGAAACTGATATGAAAGCTGTGTTGTAATGATGTTTCATATGCAATAAAAAATATTCTTCTTTTTTATTAATGTAAAGTTTAAAATTTTTAGAAATAATGAAAATTGTCTAATTATTGGTATGTAAGGAATTATGTCGTTACGTAGCAAGAAGGTAATTTGTAAAAATGATAAAATTGAAATGTTCCACAATATGAATTTAAATTTTAAAAAAAATATTTTATTTGTATAAATAAAAAAAAATTAATAAAAATAAATAATAATTTTAATAAAAATCTTTGAAAATATTGAAGCTCTACAAGTATTAGAGACTGCGACGTTGTTTATCGTTTTAATAATTGGTAGAATTCGCTCACTGTATCATGGTAATTTTAAATATAAACAATTTATTATACTTATTATCAGTAACGCCTAAGCTTAAATGTTATAAATGTAAATTAAAAGTAAAGAATTTGATATTAATTTACAATAATAAACAATTTATTATTATGTTATTTTTAAGAGAAAATAGAAAGTACACGTAGTGTAAAGAGAATACCATGGACCTTAGAGATAGACCACCCAGTGGGCGGGGCGCGCGTCACCGACATGTCGCAGCAAGATGGGACGATCTGGTTTACTTTAATGGGTTTGTATCACATAACTGTTTTAATATTAAATGTGATACTTTGTATAGTAATGAGATTATAAAGTCACAGTTTTTTAAAATAGGATTTAATACTCTTCATTAAAGAACATTTACACGCGTAATTCTTGTACAAACATCTTTCCTTGATAAAACGGTAAAACTCTAAGCACAAAATTATGAACTTATTTTTCGTAAATAAAATTAAATAAGTTGGATAGTACGTGATGCTTTGAAATAAATAAGGTAAATGAAACAAGATCTGATATTTTTTTTAATTTAATAAAACATTTTCAGGCAATGATTTTTCAAAACTATAATAACATTACAAAACGATTATTTATTTGATTTTATCATCATTAAATTATTAACATTAAAGTGGATATTTTTTTATATTTATAAATCGGAGCATAAAATTTTGAGTGTAATGAAGGGGGAAAAAAGATAAATAAAATATAGAAGCACTCGGATTTTATCTTTTTTTTTCCCTTCATTACACTCAGAAATATATATTACTCATTTTATATCACGTCCAAAAGGAACCTTTTTTTTTTAACGTTTTGTGTGTTACCTATATTTATTGAATATCATGTTCTTCGCCCGTAAACCACATTTGAAAACAGCATATCTTTAGAATTTTCGCACTGGAGATAAAAATTTTATTTTCCGTGCAGTGTTCCCATTGATCGCTTTAAAATCGTTGAATTTGTTAATCAAAAATCCGTTAAAGTTTTACAAAATATGAAATAGATACTAAAACAAATTCGAAATTCGGCGTTCCAGATGCCCATGTTCGGGTGGAGGATAACATTATTCAAAATTGATGTCTCTAGATACCGTCGTTTTTGTCACAGCGTGAGAAACATACATGTATTCATGCAGATTCTTCATTACTTAATTTCTTTAAATATAATACAGGGCGTTAATGTTTAGTAACAACAATTTGCAAGAAGACACGGACATTTATAGTGAAACAGCGCAAAATGTCGCTTCGAGCTAATAAATTAAATTAACCGTAAATAAAAAAAATTTTATGCAGAACTAAAAATAAATTAAAAAAATAATCACTGTAAAATACAAGCAAAATTAATTATTACGGTTAAATACAATTTTAATATTAGAATTAAATGTATAAAAATTGAGGAGTCAAAAGTGTTTATCACTGTGATGTATTATTAAATATAATTGAAATAAAATTCCTTTATAGAAATTGTGCTAATATCTAATCTAATCTAATTTTAAAAAATCAGCACCATATAGAATTTTAAACAAAACTTTCAAAAATTCATTTTTAAATATTTTAGTATTTTTTACTTATTTACACCAATAAAAAGCATAAAAATTGCTTGCTTGAAATTTTCTATTAGTTCAGATTAAAAATATTATTTTCTAAAAGAAGTAGTTACAAATTTCCTTACAGCATAGGAAAAGCTAAAAAATATCCAGCCCTGAAAGCATGCAGTAGCTCTATAATTATTTGGAACGCTAATTATGCTTGATAAATATACTAAATTTTTAAAAATAAATTCCAGTTTCAAAAATAAAAATATGGAGAAATTCTAATTTGTGAAATGAGGCGCTGCAACCAGCTTTTTCTTGACAATTATACACGCTGCAATAGGCAACCACTGTTAAATTTCTGGAAGTCGTCCCTACTCCTCCGGATGTGATCAAGGTGACAGCCGGGAACGCGTCAGACGAGGGAGAAAACCTATTTGGTCTGAGACTACATTGTGACGTCATAAGCTTAGTCCCACCCATTTATTGACGTCACACAGCTCCTACTACTGGACTTTGATGATGCAGCCTATTCTGCGCTTTTACGTAACGAATTTTCACATGCGAAATGCATTTTATTTTACTTTAATATTACCTATAATGTAAAACCTTTTCAGTTATAGTTAAAAATTTACATAATCCTAATACTGTGTTCAGAAAATATAAATTAAAACATTTTATTATTACTGCATATTTCAAAATTTTTCAGCAAATTAAGGAATTTTAAAAAAAATCGGAAGATATTCATTTGAAATTGCTAGAAATATTCCTAATTTCCTAATTTGAAGATATTCAAAATTAATAAAATACTTCCAACAAATTAACATAATTTATTACTTATATTTTGCGCTCGCTTAAATGCTTTTGAGATTACAAGATTTTTGCTTCAGTTTACTGGTTAATAAGCTTAGTTTTTATTCAAAAAATTAAAAATGTGAGAATCTTCATTTCATTTGGACATTTAAGAGACTAATTTCTAACCACAGATAGCTGCAAGTGATTGTAAAAGTATTAATTTCAGTTTAATGTTTTCTAGGAAAAACTCCGTAGATATGAAAATTTTAATCAAATCACTTCAAATGTTGTAAGAATTATTATTCTTGACATTACATACACGAAACTTCTAAAAACACAATAAAAATCAGTAACAAAAGAAAATAATTTTAGCTATTGGCAATTTTGTTCACAGACTTAGTTCAATATGTCGCTGCTTTTTCAGATGGCACAGACTGTCCTTTCTTTAACGATAGAGAATAGCTGATATACTTTGCATCTTGTAATCGATTTCGAAATCTCGATGCTTCGTTTACATTTTATGCGGAATTGCGGTAAGGCGGTATATAGAAAATCTTGCAGAAAAGAAAAGGGCCTGCCTTCATATTTAATGTTTTTTCTTCCTATATACCAGACTGGACGCAACGCGAGTAAATCTCTATGTTACAGTCAGTCGTTTCCATTATTTGAATTCATTCATTGTGAGACCTTTATAAAGTCTTAATAAATCTTAATAAACAAAGACTTAATAAACAAAGATTGGCTAATATTCCTGATACAATGATAAAAAGTATTGGTATGGTTTAGTTTAATTCTCTTGTTAATAAAAAAAAACAGCAGTTATGCATGTAATGAGTCTAAAAATAATGAAAAGTAATATATTTACTACTGTTGTCTAAGCAGAATTAATGCATGATTATAAAATAGATATTAGAATCTAGTGATAGCATACGTACGATTTAAAATAATAATTAAGTATGGTAGAGCACATGAGGAAAAGAATCATTGAATTGTATTTATTTAAAGCTTCGTAATCGATAAACAACGCCCACTTACTTATCGATGATACAAGTCTGTTTACCGATGGTGAAGAACAGTCTGTGCCACCCGAAAAAGCGGCGAACAGTTCAATAAGGCTCCTGAAGTTTTAAATATTCTATTTAGTTTAAACCAATGAATACTTGGAAATCATCGTATAAATATTCCGGGTCAAATGTAAATGGAGACCCACCAGTGGCCGCTATTGAACACTGGTAGTTAGATACCCGGCGAACAGGCTGCCTGCACGGACGTTTCTTGGTTTTCCCCATGCTTAACATGGATACGAGCAGGTTTCTCTTAAAAATTCCTCCATGGGGCATCCAACATTTTCCGTGGACGCCTATAATGAAGTATGTTACACACATATTTTAAAAAACTGTAATTGTAAAAACGGTGAAAATTAGCAGAATGCCACATGGAGACATAAAGTTAACGAGCATGATTTTAAAAATAATGCCACTCTACAAGCTCAATGCAAGATTGATGCAAACATTAGATTAAAATGGAAATACAATCAAATAAATTTTGCTTCAAACCTTATCATTAAAATGACTAAGAATTAACGAACAAGGATACTCACTCCTTGGGTGTCGGTCACCAGGTGGTTGCCACTCTGCACTTTGTAGGCCTGTTCGAATGACTGGCTCATGTCTGGGCTTTTCCAAGGCATCGTGGAAGGTGAGGTGGGCCGTCCACTCGGCGCCTGCCCAGGATCCACGCCGAACAATAACGCCCCTACCGTACTGCGAAAACAAACGCCAGCGTGAGATCGCTGCAGAAAATGCAATCCTATTGATTGAAGTGGAATGAACGGGTAAAAAACACACACGTGACGAGTCAGCACGTGCTTGCGGACATTAAGTACGCAGCACTTGAAACATCGCAGCAAAGTGAAATAAGCGCAAGTAACTTGTAAGTTCGGCATGGGAAAATTGCACAGTATTATACAGCATTTCAGTTTGAACGTGTCTAGCTAAATTAAATCTCTGCAGCTGCTTCAATCTCATTAGGTCTAGCTAAATTAAAGTTTCTACAAAAAATTTCCCTAGCTTGATATTTTCAACTTCATTATAAGGCTTTTCATTTCAATTAGGTAGACTTTATGTCTGACATAAACACTAGTAAAAGAAAACAGCCAACTACAGAGATTTACATTTCTCCTTCCCTAGAAGATTTCCGATTTAAAAAAAAATTTTTTTTTCAAAATATGAATGATTTCAGTCCCATGGATCAGGTGAAATAATCTCACCAAAATAACCCCAGTTTAACTATATAAAAATTTAATACGTATCTTTATACTATTACATTATATATATTATGAATAAATTATGTTTTCGATCACTTGGTAACCTGTATTTTGAAAAAAAAAATGATTAAAAGTTGGGACCTGCCTTCTATAGAACAACAAGCAAAGGAATATTTTCAAAACTGCGGGATCTTGCAGTCATACTAAAAACATGGGAATTCGGGAAAAATGTCGCAATAAAGAATAACGCGAAATTCAGCAACACAACTTAGATTGCTATTTAAGCGAATTTCTACGGCGCTAACTTTACAAAGACTATTTTGTTAATTAAAATACCATTAGGGAATCTGGGATGCTAGAAAGACTACAAGAGATTTCAATGAATTTTTGTTAAATAAGCTCAAAGTTAATATTTTTTGTTAAATAAGCTTAAAAAGCTCAAAGCTACTTTTTTGCATGTTCTATCGGTAGTTTGTATTTATTATTAAATAAAGAGTTATCTACAATTAACTAAATAAAGGCCATCTATTCCTCCGAATTCAGCGGGAATGTATGGCACATATTTGGCGACATCTTTGCCAAGTTTCACTCCCGACAAGAGCCAACTTTAGTTGTCGACGGGAAATTACGTAAGTATCAACAAACAAAATTCAAAATAATGTAGTTTATATACACTCTTAGACAAAAAGAACGACGCACCGAGAAGATATAAAGCAAACTGGACACAAATTGATATGCATACAGGTTTCGACGGAAAATGCAAAATTTTACATTTTGGCTGCCAATGAATGAACGGTTGTCGCTACAGCGCATCTGATCTACGCAACTGGCAGGATATTTAAGAGGAGAAATTACGATTCCAGGTCATAAATTCTTCAGGAATTTCATTCCGTGTATTTTGGTAAACAGTAACTATGCCTCGCATACAGGTGCGCGAACCATATGCGCAGATTGCAGAATTTCAGAGATGTCGTGTAGTGGGCTCAAAGAAGCCGGTTGGTCTTATCGGCGAATAGCTTGACATTTGAGCAGGAGCGATGCCACTATTAGACGATGTTGGCAAGAGTGGGTGAACCATGGTCGCACACAGCGTAAAGAAGGAAGCGGTAGGCTTAGAGAAACGACAGAACGTGATGACCGAACAATCGTCAGAGACTAGACCGTCAATCTCGGAACGCCTGCTATTGTTAGCTGGGCAATTTCAATATACGCAGGTGAGAGGAATAGAAAGGAAAGGTTCCGGAATGGTTTCCAACGGAAATAATTAGATCGTGGAATGGCTTTCAGTGGGTTCCAGGGACAAAAGGGATATGCTTGCTGACTTATTCCCGAACCGTGGAAGGAGTTTCACTGCGTATTTTTATGCTCCATGTTTTATTGAACATTTTGTTTAAGGACAGATTAATTTTTATCAATTTATGAATAAAAAATAATTTCGTAGAGAAATACGTGTTTGCAATGTAAAATTGTATGCTTATTTAAAATTTGCTTAAAGGCATAAAGTTTTGGCGAAATTACATAATTTTGTTTATTCCAACGAAATTTAATATTTATTAGAACTCTTATTACGGTAACGTAACAGAGTATTACATGAAGTTACAATACGTAACTATAAAGTTTTATTTACTTAAGGTATTGTAGAAAATTGTAACTGTAAAAAAAAAGGGCAGACAATCAATAAGAATAATAAATAATACACTTGCTAACGAAACGCTAGCTACCCTCACAAAGCAGGAGCCCGTTCATAGTAGGCACTCAATCGCGGAACGACTGAAATTCGCTATACTCAAAATCCCTTTTCCTTTTTCCTCTTAGCTCATCCCTACTTTCAAGTACCATACCTACAAATCTTGGACTCTTCCAGAAACCAATAGAATTCCTTCCAGGATTGGACGCTTACTTCGTCAGAGCGGCACTCACAGACCCAGATGCATCATTATCATCGATTGTACACGTAACTAGTGCTTCAGTGTCCGCAAGGACCATTCATAGACGGCTCACAGGAAGGGGGTTGAGGTCACGGCGCACCATTGACCTCTGTACAACGTCCAGCCCATTTGCAGCGGTGTCGGGGTCATTCACACTGGAATGTCACTTACTGGAGTAGAATACCAGCGAAGGCGTGTCTGGAGACGCCCCGGACAGCAGTGCGATACCAACCTGACTGTCTTCCGGCAGACAGACCGACAACCAGGAGTGATAGTCTGGGTTGCCATTTCATTTCATAGTAGCACCCCTTTGGTTGTCATCCGTCAGCGGTACGTCGACGAAGTTCTAAGGCCCTTCATATCACGCCCCCCTGGGCTCGCATTTCAGAAAGATAATGCCCGCCCCCACACTGCACATGTTTCTACTGCTTACCTTAGTGCTTGCCGAACATTACCTTGTCCAGCAAGGTCGCCGGATCTCTCTCTTATTGAGCACGTTTGAAACATTATGGGCAGGGCCCTCCAATCAGCTCGGGATGTTGACGATCTAATTCGCAAGTTGGACAGAATTTGCCACGATATCCCTCAGAAGGACATGCGCAAACTCTATCAATCGATGCCATGCCGAATAGCTGCTTGCATAAGGGCCAGAGGTGGACAAATAAATAAATTATTCAATAAATTATCCCATTTTTCTCAAGTTGTAATCATTTGTTTTTCTGTACATGTACATCACTTCTATCGATTTTCGTCCCATTCGGATAACTCCTTCTTGGTGCAACCTTTTTTTTTTTTTTTTTTTTTTGTCCAATGGTGTATTACTAGCTTTGCACCAAGCATTAATTAAAATAAGCATTGCACCAATTAATAATTCATTTATTTAAATAAACTTATCAGCATTGCGTGCTTTTCTCAGTTTTTAACTCTTACACATTTTAAACAATTTAAATATCAAAGTTAAAACAGCCCGAACAAATGTATCATAAATTACCACCAAATCCGAAATGTCTTCAACTTTTGGTTCGAAAACGTTATTTTAAAACCAGAATTTTCGAGGTAGAAAATACAACCAACAACGGAAATTTTAACATCGCTTGTATTTCTAAACATTAATTCTTCACCGGCGGTTCTATGAAAATATGACATAATCTCAGAAAAATAACCTCTCATTTAACAACATACAATTGTATTACATATATTTTCACAATTAAATAATACTGCATCTGATCACATATTTATCACAACAGTTTTTCAACAGCGACAGAAAGTTAAATATTGTCTTAACGGATTTAAGAATACTGCAGTATTTTTATAGGAAATTCTTTATAAAGTATTTTATATAAGGAAAATGAGAACACTTTCAAGTTTTAAACTACACAAAGTTCAGCTTTATACTGACATTAGTTTTATTGAAGAACCTGCACATTCATTAGGGTTTTTGAAGCAGGAGACGGGAAAAATGTGCAGTGCTCTCTCCAGGACTCGAACGCCGGACCTTCCAAATACACTTCGAATGTGCTTCCAGCTACACAACAAAGGCATGCGGAAAAGAAGGAGGAAATATCTAATTCATCTTATTATTTTATAAAACAAAAAATATCTTGCAACCATGCAGAAATCGAAGCCAGTTTTTCTCCCAAAGATACAAAGATACCCTTTCTTTCTCTTATGATATTTGATTCTTTTTTTCTATTTTCCTCGATAGATGGCACTGCAAATCCGCTTCTTTTTTTATATATCGATTTCACACTGCCTTTTTACTTCCTTCTACGAAGTATTGTACTTAGGAAAAGGTTGTGAATCATATATCAACGGAAATATTCATTTTGATCGTTCACAATAAAGGACTCTTATTTTTTCTCCAAATTAGATGGAAAATATAATTAAAATGGATTTTTTCATACTGTCTGTACGTACGTACGTAGGTATGTATGTATGTGGTATATCGCATAATTCAAAAATGATTTGACGTAGAATGTTGAAATTTTGTATATGGAACTGCTATAACATCTAGTTGTGCACCTCCTCTTTTATTACAATCTGCAGAACAAAACGCATATATACATATATGTATGCCCACTGTCTTATCCGGCCTTCATTTTCGAAACCATTGGTCGTTTCATATACTTCCAATTATGTTTTAAGTGTTTTAAATAACGAAAATATTCATGTTTCCGTAGTATCAAGTTAAAAAAAAAATTCGGCAAATAACGAAATCTTACACCCATAATGACAGTTTTTATATATAGTTAGTTTAATAATAAATATCTAACAATACGTAATATCAGTTTATTGTTGCAACAAAAAATGTGTATAATTTAATAGACCGTACAAGGAAATCAGGGAGGTCTATATCAGTTTTTTTTCATTGCGTTCGTAATTTAAATGGTATTATAATAACAGGAAGCACTTATATGATATATTCTGTACATAATTGTGATCTTGGGGGAAAAAGAGCAAATAAGAAAAGGAAATAACAGCACAATTACATTTTCCTGAGATATTAAAGATATCAGGTATTTCACCATATAGTTTAAAGTAGCAATATTGAGTACATAACACAGATATAATTTCAAATATTAATTTCTTTACTTTGCATTGCTCTCTTATCACAATAAGAATTCAATTTCCACAAAGTATTCAGTGCTCTGAATATAAATCACGAAACGATTTTCTTGTTTTAAGCAATGAATAAATTTTCGTCATTTTCCATTTCCTCAAAGGTCATCCGTTGAGGAAAGGATGAGAAAAAAAGAGAGAGTGCTAGAGATTAATATGAAAAATGCTACGATGTTTTTCAGCTTTATTTGCATCACGAAATGTAAACAACAGAATCTTCAAAATCTAGACTTAAGGTTTCTTCCTCTTTACAGAAATCGGATTCACTTCATCTGGATTCAGAGCTTTTATTTTGTTTGGAGTACTGACATTCTGAAGATCTTTTCGGGGAGTTAATTTACATTTGGCATAGAACACATTTTGGATATGAAGGAGACATTAATGAATAAAAGAAATGCGTTAGAAAAGGTGGCTTGTGAAAGAGCATATGGAAATAGAATTTAAGGAAACTGAAGAAAAATAGATTGTTTAGGAAATTTCAAATAATAGTCCATTTTAAGAGACAAATAATAGCCCATTTAACTTTCAAATAATAGTCCATTTTAAGAGATATAAAATAAAGACCATGTGTGAATGATATAAATAATATAGTTCGCTTTTCTTCTATACGATATGAGTGAGTGAGTGAGTGCATCGCTATTATAGCTTCCGACCACGGACATGAACCAAACGGAATTATAAACCATCACGGCAGGAAAAACTCTAAAGTAAAAAAGTTGAATATTACATACTAATAACAGTTTCTATAGTTTGAAAACTGCAGGCACCGAGCGTTATTACTGTTATCTGCTTTAAATTCTGAACATTTGAAACATAATATTATTCAAGGTTGTTTCTGCTTACGCAGTGTCTTGAGATTTTCTCTATTTCACAAATGACTACTCAGTTTTTGAGTGTATTAGACGTTCACATTGACCCCAGGCACAGTCCGCTGGTTTCAAGTGCCAGGTCCTTGTATGTACACAATGAAAGTAATAATGGTCTCCCCAATTCCTAGAAGGGAGTATCCCTAAGTCTAAATCTATTGAGGTATACTGGGACGGGTCCATGACCTGTCAAGAACTGTGTTAGGCTAGCACTGTGGGTCTTTATTTCCACGTTAACTTTTGGCAGTAAGAGATATGTCTTTCGGCCTACCTCCGGCTCTGTCCATCTACTTTGTCAAATCCTTTATAATATGAATAAAACTTTGCTAATTAGAAATCAAAAACAGAAATATATCTGTACCGTGTTATGAAATTCAGAAACCACCAGCGGCCATTGATGGCAAATGAACTCCAGAAATGTGGCCAGAAAGAAATTTTAAATGGAATTTTTGATTAAATCCGTAAAACTGAAAAAAGTTTTCCATTACACATTTAAAATATTGAAATTAAGTATGTTCCCTGGATGTTATCCTAGGACGATATAGCTGTTTGGAGGCTCATCGCCATCCAGGCCAAAAATCTGGCTTCGGCTCCTGCATATAGAGGGGGTAAAAAAAGAATTATTATTTTTTTTTTTTTTGTACCAAATGCTGTTTGCTTTGCATCTGCACCATATTAACTTTTACCTTTGAGATAAGTGTTCTAAAATCTTTACAGATGCTTAAGAAGATGTAAATGAGCCGTAAATGACGATATCTTATACTTAACTATATTACGTATTCAGCTTTTATAATACATTTCTTGATAATTTATTTGCGTACTTCTATGGTTGCTCTTTTCACATTTTGAATTAGCGCCTATACAAGTATAAGATGTCTTACTAAAATTCAAACGTTACAGATGGTTGTAAGATGTACTTTAAAACAAGGACCCTTCATCCTAAGTAGGCAGACGTTTAATTCTATTGCAGAGATTCATACAAAGCGAAATACTTTCAGAATAATGGGCCTTTACCAAGGTTTAGTTAATAGCGGCAGAATATTTTTAATTCTGCTAGAGGTTTTCCAATGCTGTACGGTGATGACGTCTAGTGATAGGGCAGCTGTATGTTCATAAAAATTACTGACAAGTACTAAAAATGACGGAAATAAACAGTTTATTTTGTTTTGATTCTAAAATAAATCAATTGACATGAAAGAAAGCTATTAGATTTTACTTTTATTTTTTTAATGAATTCGATACCGTCATTTTTTGCCGCAAAGTCGTTAACTACTTTATCATAAAAATCGTCTACTTTGATTTCATCAAAATTATTTTAAAACGCTTTTCCTGTTAAAAACAACGGCATTGATGACAATCTTTCTTCTGACTGAGTGTTCTTTGCGAATGTATGGAAACCTACGCTGAACAGATGCCCGAAATAAAAGAAAGGTGACCGAAAAATCGTCACCACTAGGATTTGGCTATTGGGTCCCAATTCCCAAGTTGCCTTTTAAAAGGGAGTTATGTAAGGTAAATTCTCCCTCCTTCCAGCATGCCTTCGTGGTGTAAATGTAGCACACTCAACGTGTATTGGAAAGGTCTTGGTTCGAGTTGCTCATTTTTTATGTCTGCTGCTTCAAAATAGCCTAATGATTCTACAACTTTATTATTTATTTTCTTTTCAATCCCATTAATACGTAAGCGCTTATAAACATAAAACTAGAACGACCGCAAATAATTCATAATCCGTAAACCAATAAACATGATATCCAGAGCTGCGCATCATCAGGGTACGTTTCAAGGTCATTTGCCGGATGGCGTAAATAAAGAATATATTTAAGTTTCTCTGTCTTATCTGCCTTTTTTTCGGGGTAATTTATTAAAGAGAAGAAATTTTACCACGCAGTCGATCTTTTTCAAAATAAAATATAATAAACCTAAGCTCCGTAACACCTTTCAAAATATTCCGTACACAATAAAATAAGTATTTATGCTCAAATAATGTGTAAAAGTGTTTCAAAAGAGCAAAATTCGTTTCAAAAATATATAAAGCATTAACAATGATAACAGTATACCAACTCATAAGATATTATTGTGCCTATCAAGCTAAATACTAAAATAGTCTCCGCGGATGCTTTGAAAATTGTTCTTTGGTTTGTAATTAAGTCATTGTGCCATTTTTACATTTAACTTCAGCAAATAGTTACTCGTTGCGCGTATTAATGTTTTAGAAATGCACGCATGTGCTTATATGTTAAATATTTTTGCGATAAACTCTATAAATCTAATTTAATGTCATAAACTAAGAAGCGTGTATTAAATTAGAACGTAGTTATTCATAATCTATTCATATGTATGGCACTAGAAATATGTGCATCAACTATGATTATGAGACATATGGAAAAACATTTGCAAAGGGTTAATTTAATTTAAAACAGTTTGGGGAAGTTTCTTAGCTGTTCCCAAAAGAAAAGATTTTTCTGTGCACTGGTAGAACTTCGTAAAGTAGAGTAATCGATTTGAGGGATAGTCTGTTAAGAGAAGGTTTGGAATCATATAAATAAAACATTCATTTCCTTTTTATAATTGCTTCCTTAAATTTCGTGTGACAGAAACAAAATATTTCTACCCAGGAATTCCTTTCCTTGAACGACATTTGATAACTAAGTAGATTTCTTACGTTGGAGCTTCGGTTGTTTTCTCTCTAGGTCCTTGAGCTGCCATAGCGACAGCTGCTTGCATCTGCTCTACAGTAGGTTGAGGCAATCTCCGGTGGGAACGTCGGGGTGTGGTCGGCTGCGCTGGAGTTTTCTGAGGAGAGCTGGTAGGAGCTACTTTCTGCGGGGAACCGAAACTCTCCTGAAAGAAAAGGCCTTTATTAAATATGGCTTCAGATATGCGAGCATTTCATCATTTGAGCAACACTTCATTTTATAAGAAAAAATGAGCTTTGTCATTCATTCCATTTTTTTTAATTATATAGAGTGCTTTACCATTTTGTTCGCGACACAGAGAAAATGGAATTAAAATTGCATTCTCGAGTGAGTTCACAACCGTACTTGCCCAAATGCTTTTTGCAGTTAATTCTAATACTGAAAAAAATTCTTACAAAATCTACATTTTATGAAACAGTTGTACAACTAAGTATATTTTCAATTTTCTTTTTTATTTATAAATTGAATTTCCTGTATTTTGCCATTAACATAAATTCCTGTATTATGCAATTAATATAAAGTTAAAAAATTAGAAAAAAGAAATATATAATTCTAAAAATAATTATGTATTAAACTTTTTCCTCCTTTTCAAAGAAGCAAGAAACGTAAAAATTCAAAAGATTGATGCATATTATAGCCTATTCACACATTTTCATATAAAAATTAAATGATTTAATTAATGCTTTAAATTAATCATTTATATGCTCTGAAGAACACTTTGACTAGGATCGCGTGTTTTACATTTCTGAACTAAGTTTCTTTAATTGAAGATAATACTCATTATACCAAGTTAACGGTCAACTTCATGCCATTCTTGTGTCTACTCGCTTTTAAAAAATTCAAAAAAATTTCCGTTTTCCCTCTCGATCAAATATGATTTTCGCTCTTGTATCACATTTAGTAAGGTAGGCATGCGAAGGGAAACTGAGGTATCTCATATGAGATACACTGCGAGCGAAAGGGTCAAAAGGGTTAATTTAAACGCTATCAATCTACATTGATTCTGCTTATTAGAAAAATGCACTCTTAATTTTCTTCAGTCCGGCCGATAATGGCTGATATTTTAAAAAGTAACTCGCGGTGAAGCACCGTTAAACTAGCATAATTTTAAAGAAGAATTTAGGCAGTAGATTTAATGTCTCACCTGGTAATCTTTTTGCAAATTTGAGATGGATGTCACACCCCCACTGGTAGCAGTGATTGGGCTCATGGCAACTGATGTTGGCGACACAGTTGACTTTATACCTGAATCATCTAAAGGAGACGTGCCCGGGAGTCCAAGTGCACGATTGAACTCTTCCAGCATTCCAGATATTGTACCACTGGTTGCCCTAGGTATAGAGCCTGCTTTCAAAAGGCGAGAATCATCATCATCCAATAAATCTTCATCTTCATCCTCTATTACATGCTTTTCTTGGAACTTTTCCATCAACTCCTGTTCCGCTGCTTCGATAGATGGCGAAACATCTGGAATTGGAGATAAGTCTGAAACTGGTGACCAGTCTTGAGGATCTGGTTTTGGCTTTGTTTTTTTCTGATTTTGCAAATCGATAGCAGTTGGTTTAGCAGCTGACGTTGAATTGACGCCTTTTCCAGAATCGCCGCTATCGTATCCATCATTCGTCTGTCCACTACCCTGATAGTAATTAGCTGAGTTCTGCTGTGAGCAGTAATAACTGGCTGAATTCCTAGAATCACCTTCTGCTGCATGCTGTGAATAATTCATCTGCATTTGCATTGCATACTGCTGCCTAGGATCTGGCTGAGTTTGCTGCATGGCTTTAGCAGAACTGAAAGCCTCATAGGAAACAGGCTGTGTTTTATGTTCTTCCAGATAATGCTTAGCAGATGGCTGCCTCGTATCTGGAGTGAGCTCATGAAGCAATAGTTTATCATACGTTTTGCCTCCGTAATCTCGTTTCGGTTTTCCATAGTCTTCTTGAACTGCTTGTAGAGCGTACCTTTGTTCAGTTGGTTGAATGATGTACTGTGTATCTTTCTCTCTTGTAGGGTAGTGATCCTCGTCCATCTCGTAAAAATCTTTCTTTGAAGCTAAGATTTTATCTTGCTCGTACATGTTGAAATCATTCTTCTCTTTTACATTTTCCTGTGCACTTCTTTGGCCATAAACATTACCATACGGTTTTGCGGAAGACATTTGATGATAAGCCTGATTTTGATTGTAAGCATCTATTTGACGAAGGGCAGCCGATACTTGCCCTCTTTGTAAGCCATGATTAGAACCTGAAGGCTTTGAATGTTCTTTTTCATTTTCTTTGTTCAACAACTGTCTTTGAATATCCGATGACTTTTTCCCTCCAACAATAGTTTGCGGTTGCGGTCTAGTAATTGCCTTTTCAATCATTTCAAAATAGTCATCAATATTTTGCTCTTCTTCTTCGTCCTGATATCCTTCTAGATCTTGGATGTTATCCTCCGGCGGTAGAGGTTTGCTCTTCCTTTGGTCCACTTTCCCATCATTCCAAACATGAGACTGCTCAAGACTTTCCGCATTTGCCTGATCACGCGATTTTTCGGCTTTCTGCCTCAGTTGCGCAGGTGCTGTACGAGGCTTAGGATCAATATCAGTATTCATCTTAGAAGCTTCGGTTGCGGCTGTCATACTATTATCTACGATATTTGGCTGAATGAGATCTTCTCTTTTCTTACCCTGATCTAGCTTCATTTGCCCCTGAGAGCCACCAGACTGATTCATCTGCGACAAATCATTAATAAAACTCTTTTCTTTCTCTCGTGAATCTTCAGATACATCCGATCCTTTATACAAGTTCACAGAATGGTCATTTTGTTGTTGTAAAGTTTGAGCCAATGATGTCAAGGGCACTGTCCTAGGAATGCCATTCCTACTCTCAACATACATCGGAGTTTCTGTCAAGGAAGTTCGGGCTTTAGGAATCGGAGGTGGTGTTCCCTGCTCTTGCTCTGGACAAGAATTACCCGGAGGACGTTTTGTGTGATCCACGTGAGGCAGCTGCCTTCTAGCGGTCGGCTCTGGAGGACAAGCTCCACTGTTAATTGCATTCCTGCGCTGCTCTTCATCCGAATGCCTGTTTGAGTTTGGATATTCTTGTTGTCCAATATCTGCTGCTGCACTATTTTTCTTTTTCTCTAAGGAACTTTGTCGTTCTAGACCTAGGAAAATGAAACATAAAATTGTATTTAAAGATTATATTTTTCAGCAGTTAATTCAAACATTAAAAGTCACAAAACTTATGCTTAATAGAAAAACAACTTTTGTCCGCGAAAATACTTAAAATTACATTTTATTAGCTTTCCTTCAAATATAGAGGGATTTGAATCTGTGTGAACAGCAAAGGTTAGAAAAGAAAGCAGTTAATTCAAATAACAATAAAATAAAAAATGTATCGAAGCCATCTTAAGCTATTTATATGTTCCATGCGTTAGCTCAGCGATTTTCTATGAAGTAACCATCCATCGCCAACCTGATATGAAAGGGACGCAGTAAATGTTTTCAGTACAGGCGAAAGCAATTTTTTCTTCATAATTATTCTCATAAATGAAACTGAAACATTTTAAAGCCACAGCTCGTTAAACCAGATGATATTATGTTTAAAAATTCGGCTATAGCTGATTAGGCTATTAGGCTGATTATAATCAGCCATAGCTAGATTACTGAAAAATCATATCGACATCATATCGACATCAGAGAGCCGAATAAGTGGCTAACCTTAGATGGGTAACGGTTCTTTACACACAGCCATGGGATTCAAGCAGAGACCAAAAACATCCATTTATTTCTAAGAAGATGCCCAGGGGTTCAACCGTAGATGGATAACGGTTTGTAAAAAGACAAGGGAGATGGTCATGGGATTCAGCATTAAGCTGATATTGATTTTGTAGAAAACTTCATTGACTTCAAGGAGACCGGCATGGGATTCAGTATGACGTTCATTTTGTAAAAAACCTCTATCTACTTCGAGAGAGAGAACCATGATGTATTAACCTTAGATTAACCAGTTTTATACATAACATCTATGAGTTTCGAGAGCTATAACTATTTGTACAGAAACTGCATCCACATCGAAGATATCGGAACAAGATTGGATTCTGTTTAAATCTAAAGGACACTATTAAATAAACATCAAGTCTGGGTTTGGGATTTTGTATAATTTAATTTTAGTACTTTCCCTCTTCTCATGCGCATATATTATTTTCTTCGATATCCTTGAAAATACATCGTTCTGTGTTAGAAAATATATTTCACAGGATTACTAAAATTTGTTCAATTCCATCGGAAGTGATTTTCTAAACAAGAAAATCTCAGCTTTATTTTACTTTACTAACAATATTTTTTTAAATAGTTCATGACCTAGTATTTTATTATTTGTACCTTAAGAACTTTAATTCTGTATTCTTTTATATACAGCGTTTTGACTTACTAATATAGTTTGATTGTATATTATCTTTGTGTATCAGCTATCTGAAATAAAATTTTGACTAAACCACAAAAAACGAGGATATTTCATCCAACTCTCGAGCATATATGATCCTAGAAATTACTTAACGCATAATTAAGCTTCAGGTAAAAAAGACATAATTTTTTTTTATTTTTAACAAATTGCAGAAAGCTTTACATGAAATGAAATTTTTGTAGTAACACAGATTGAAATTCGTATCATGGATTTAATTCTATTTTAAGTCATGGGAATAAAACATATCAAATGGAAATTAAAATGGATTAATGAATGTTGTTGAGAATTCAAAGCTCATATTTAATTCACGGGTTCACATCTACACGATGCAAAGTGCTTCTAAAAGTCAAAGAAGACCAAAAGCATTCCTAAATACATGAAACCACTTTATTGAAGCACATGAAACACATACAGGGACAGATACGACAACACAATGCTCTTTCACGTACCAAACTAAAGACTAACTCTGGTTCTCATACATTCTAGAAGGTGATGTCCTTCTATCCCAGCTTCAGTTCAATTCAGTTCGCAGCGTCCTCGCCTCATTGAGACTTGAGGAACGTCTCCAACATATTAAAAGCACAGTTGAAATAAATCCATTTCTCTAGATGCTTTTACATATCTAACTGCAGAAGGATATCCTTCCATTATTACATCATCAGAAGACAAGTTAATCTTAAATCCAGAGAGTGTCTGAGAATTAGATTCCACCCGATTCAATACAGATTTAAGTTTTTACAATTCTTTTACTATACGAACCAATCTTTCCTACCAGTCTTCCCATCACGTTACCGTGAGTGGTATAAATTTCCAAATTATTTCATGTATGAATCTTTATCTATAACTTTTGTCTCAGTCTAATTTAGAAAAATGAATAGTTTGCATCACTGCGCTATTCACACTTTTACCCAGTTTTCAAAAACTAAAAAAAAGACGTCCAAAGAAAGTTTTCGATTTCTGGTAAAATTAGAGCTACAAAAATTAACCCGCGGGAAGGCGCGTGGGGTGTATCATACCCCAACCCTACATAAAAGTGGAATATTCCTAACTTGAGAAACTGAAATTCTGTGCTGCTTTCAGTAGCTGAGTTTCTAGTTGTGGTTGACTTTCAGAACCGCTTTTTCTTTGCCTGTGTATTTCAGAAAAATATTTATCGGTATTTTGTTGGAAACTGGGGTATGACACACCCCACGCGCCTGTCCGTTGTAAGTGTTTTTCTGACTGAATATTTAGTTCAGAAATTTATTTCTAGAGTATAACAGTAACTATTTCTACTCGCAAGTGATTTTAAAGTACTTGACATTAAATTCTTAAAAATTTCTAATTGCATTATGGTAAAAAGAATGAGTCTCTATGAACTGGAGATGCAACGCATGTGAGATTTATTAGAAATATTTGAAAGCGATGAAGATTGCATTTCGGAAACTGAAGATGAAACTAAGAATATTTTCTACAATGTTTTGATTTTGAAAAAGATAAAACATTAATTCCTGATGTTCCTAAAAAAGGAAAAACTGTTCTTATGCTTTCAACATTATATAACGATCGTACTATAGATGATACTATTGGAGAAAATAAAACGTCAGGAATTATATGTTTTAATAATATGACTAAAGGAGCAGTGGATATGGGGGATGAAATGTCAGCCAGTTATTCAATTGCCAGAATAACAAGAAGGTGACCAATGGTAATTTTCTTTCCTGCACTGAATGTTGCTGTAATAAATGCTTGAGTTATATTACATTCAACTGCTAATCCACCAACAAGAAACAGAAGTCTGTTTTTGAAGCACTTAGCATTACAATTAATGAAAAAAAGTATTGAACAAAGATCAGAGATTAATACTTTTCCAAGAAATTGACGTACTGCATGCAAAACAAAAGCAGAAGTTTCGATGAAGAATTAAAACGAATACATGAAATTCGAAACAACTAAGTATGATAGATGTGTTAAATTGTTTGTCCTCGCGCCAAGGACAGAAGAACGTGAATGCAATGTTTAAAATGTGAAAACATTCTATGCCAAGAACACATGAATGTATTTCGTTCAAAGTGTGAAGAAATAAAACAAGCATGGTGTATTAGAGATGCTATGAAACTTAGAGGCATGATGTTTATTATTTTCATTTAGCTTAATTTTAACTCTAAGATTATTTCCGAAATTAATTTTTTTGAAACCCAATTATTATTCACTTATTTATAATACACGAGAACAAAAAAAAACTGTTTTAAAACTAAATAATACTATTTTTATTGTATTTTAAATATTGGGGTATGTGATACCCCACGCGCCCACTCTAGTAACTTTTCTTGGTGCGACTTCCGCCGGGTTAATTTTATGATTATATGTTATATCAGAAGTTATATGAATGAAAATGTAACGAAAGGATCATCTAATGTGTGTGTCTTGAAAGGTGTCTTCATTTTTTAATGATTCATTTATTATTTTTAGTACTGAGAATGCGGGTTTCTGACATTTTAATTAAGAATATTAATATTTTAAATGCGTATCTTTTTATAATTTTAAATTTAGATTAATTAATAAAATGATGTACGAAATTTTTATGCAGATTTGGTCGATTACATTTAAGCAAAACGTTGTTTTTAAATGTATATTATAATCATGGTTACGAAACAAAATTTATAAGGATAGCATTTTACTTTAAAAAATGTACGTTAGATTATAATATATACGTCATGAAATTTAGAAGTCTATCTTTTTAATTTTCTTTTACTCCTGGGAATATGTATTCCATGTAAATAGGTCACTGATGTGGCGATATGTGATGCTTTTTGAAGAGGTGAAAAAATTTATTTCCTTAAAAAATATATATGGTATATACATATACTATATATATGTAATAAAATGACTTGGAGAAACCTGCAACCTTGGCAATGGTTCTTTGCTTTGTAATACCTTGGAAAGACTTTACTGCGTAGTTAGAAAAATGACACTCGAAGACAAACATAGCCACAAATTAATTCCACACATAATTTTATTCCTTGATAATTAATTCTTAAGACACATATTCGTTTTCATTGCACATCTTCATTATGTGAGCGCTATTCACCCCACAATTTTATACAGATTATATTTTAGAACAATAGACGATAGCTAGCAGAAGCTAAGTGACACATCTAAGCGTCAGCGAACGAAGTAGTCAGCGTCTCAACGGTAAGAGAGTTGGAAGCAAAGTGAGAAGATATACAATATGCTTAGGTTGTTAAGAGAAAGTTTTGATTTAAATATTCGAATTTGCTACACCATCAGTGCTATGTAAGTCACATGATATGGAGTCATCTAGCAATGATGCAGAGCAGAAAATGGCATTACTATTTCTAGAATAGAAAGGGAGACTTAAGGGGTTACTGCTTTGATTTATATATTGTTTTAGCAAACTTAGATGTAATGGCATAGAAACGTAGAGAGCCTAGAATGTAGAATCTGTAATGAACAAGTCTGTAATGAACAAGTTGGGAACAGAGGCGGAATAAATCTTCATTTTCATTTCTGTGAACATGTTAAACAAACAACTCGCCAGGCTATTCGTGCCTATTACGAAGCTTCTACATACTTTCTACATTTCATCTTTGCAGTTAGAAGAGAGCAATAAGTGACAGTCCAGCTAGGACGAAGTGTAGAAAGCAAGTGCCGTTGTGTTCAGGATGTTCAGTTGGTTTTTTTCTCAATGCATTTTGA